ATCTAGACCAACATATTCTCAGAATTGCTAGACATGACTACATGCAAAATCTATGTCCAAATCAGCTTGTCAACACAAGTCTTGACCCTCAAGTGTTTGAAATCGTGCCTGAAACAAAATATCTTACACTTTTATATGGTTGTCCTTCAATCCCTTCAGCAAAATGTGTACAATTTTCTTGTCCCAAAAATGGGGCTGATAATCCATTTGGCTATGTAATATCAGATAATATTTCTGACAGTTCTGTGTCATGCTCTACAAGTATGGTTGTTCCACTTGAAGCTTCTGCATCATTGGTTGATCTTCAGGTATTGAGTGTAGTGCAAGGGACACTTAAAAATGGATTGCTGGAATTGTGAAGTGTGACGAGTGTCAGAAAACGGGGGGAGTCTGTGGCTATGATTAATAACATGATGCCAATAGCATTTTTTGTTACCCATAAATCTTTCCTTTCCCATATTTGACTTTCCATTAAATCCATTAATAATTGCAAACAGATCGTTCATTTCTTATATTTCCACCGGTTAAATAGGACATTGGTAGTTCTAATAATTATTTTTCAGCTATATCGATACCTCATTTGTTATTTCTTTTGAGAAAATATCTATAAATATTTCAATTATAATTATTAAAGACATTTATATAGGACATTTAATGAGAGTATAATTAAAAAAATATATAATTTTTAAAAGATTAAATTTTCAACTAATTTTTCTTAAAATGATAAAGTAGTCGCCAATGCACTATATTGTGGACTGAATGGAGTATATATTATTATTTATGCGCAGCTATCAGTGAAGTAGCCCTCTTTGCTATTCAATAGAATATATAGAGTGCAAACAAAGCTTTGGTTTTCTTTGCTTACGTCCTAGCTTGTTCACAGTTATCCTTCTTTGAAGTTTCATTAAATTAATCTACTTTCTCAACATTTCTGGACTTTCTGGCAAAAGTGAAACCCAGTGGAACTGGTCCATGAATCAAATGTTTGAGACTTTCGAATCATGTTTAACAATAAAGACCAGAAGAGAGTTTACACCAAAAATATAAGAAGAAAGCCTTGGCTTATACCAAAATGTTAATGTTGTATACCGCTAACTGGAAATGCTGAATACCTATGCTAATCTTCGGTTCCCTCAGCTTTTGTGTATTTAATTAGTCAAATTAGAATTTTTTTCCATTTAAAAAAGTTTAAATTAAAGTCAATCTAGTTTGTTCATGACTTTATGTGCATGATGCGATATGTATTATGTAATTTATATTACCTGTCGCAATTGTCCAGTTGGATAAAATTTACAGAAACTTGACAACCTGGACTTTTTCTTTTCTTTTCTTTTTTTAAATTATAGGACAAAGTACATCTTAATCAGAGATAACAGGAAGAGAACTAGCTCACGGAAATAAATTCTTCCAGACATGTAAAAATGGCCTAGGTAAGAGTTCTAACAGGATACACTTGAAAAGGTACATGAGCCAACTAATATCATGAGGAAGGATTCCAACAAAACCTGGACTTTTCCAAAGGCATTCATTTTCTGAACTATCCATGACTGCATTCTGCATACAAGATGTGAAAGCCAAAACATGAACTAATTGAAGGGTTTGTTTTGCTCCAAATTGTCTTTCGTCTCCCACATTTATTTTTTTCCCAAACAACTTCTAGTATGTCCAATCAACAGGGGTATCTTAAGAAAAAACCAACAAATTTGGTAGGTGGTTTAAGTATGAGCATACTTAATGCAATAAGTCTCCCATTTAATAAAGTTGATCTAAACGATTAATATATAATAAAGGAGAATTATTATTCATAAATTTGAGACTTGAAATTTTGAATTAAAGATGTATTATTTTTCTATCACTCTTCACCTATTTGTCATCTCTCCCTTTTCAAATGATCACTACCCATTTCCAGCAACAAATAACTAATTTTCTATCCATGTGAATTAGGGGGCAAAACTCCCTCCTGGTTCTCCCCTCCTAAGCCCCACCCGCTACCATGTGAGGGCAGGAGGTAGCTCAAGAGAGGAGGACCAGGAAAGAGTCTTGATTCATAAATTAGTTATCTAACTTCTACATCTAGGACTAGAGGGACTAGTTTCTTTCTCATGAAACCTTTTCTGGATCCATCCTCCATCATTTGATTTATTAAGGACCCTTTCTTCATCTCAATCAATATTCCAACATCTCCAGGTGTGGATGATACTTGAAAGCATTTCAAATCTCAAATATCCCTTCTGGTGAGGCAACAGAGCTGAGTATTGTGGTCTATTTCCAGCTCACATGCGAAGCCAATATCCCAAAGATAATCAGAGTCCCTTACATATCGAGTTCTTCATCTTAATTGGACTTCACAGACTTACAGTTGCTAGGGACGATTACTACAAAACCATCTGTCAAAACTAATCCAGTTGGACACTCACTCACCGCTCACATAGTCATCCGTTAGCCACCTCAGCATATTGCAAACAGCATTTGAAGCTCCGTCACGTCCCCAGGAAAAAAAAAAAAAGGAAATAAATTATAAGGACCCAATTTAATTTAGATGAAACTATAAGGATCAGGAGATTAATTTTCCCAAAAAAAAAAATCATTATCGTTGATCATGTCAACATATTTTTACCCAAATGAAAGTTCTTCTCACATGGGAATTCATTTCTTTCTTCTTCATCCGTGTCGTCTTCCTCTTTTCACTATGGCTTCTTTCTTCACCCCAAGGCTTATTCTTTCATGCATAACACTTTCATTATTGCACCAGATTTCTTCGTATTCGATCGCCAACGATTATCATAAAGCTTGCAGTGCTCGGTACGATTGTGGGAAGATTAGCAACGTTGGGTTTCCTTTCTGGGGACAGGGCCGTCCAGAAGGTTGCGGCTACCCTGATTTGTATCTCAATTGTTCTGAAGGTTCAACCTTCATAACAATCCAAAGGGTCAGATACCTGGTTTTGGAAGCCCATCCAGACCAACATATTCTGAGAATTGCTAGATTCGACTACTACTCGCAAAATCTGTGCCCAAATCAGCTTGTCAGCACAAGCCTTGACCCTCTGGTGTTTGAAAACGTGCCTGAGACAAAATATCTTACCTTTTTATATGGTTGTCCTTCAATCTCTTCAATAAGCTCTCTACAACTTCCTTGTCGTAAAAATGGGTTTGATAACCCATTTGGCTATGTACTGTTGGATCATATGCCTGAAATTTCTGCGTTATGTTCTGCAAGCGTGGTTGTTCCAGTTGAAGTTTCTCCGTCAGAAATCGATTCTTTTGCTTCGAGCATAGTGCAAGGGATACTTAACAAAGGGTTTAGAGTAAAATGGATAGCTGGTATTGCTGAGTGTGAAAAGTGTCAGAGAACCGGCGCAGTCTGTGGCTATAATTTGGGTTCAAATCAGCCTACCTGCTACTCCATAAGAGACAATTCCATAAGAGATGACTCAACGATTCCAGGTACATCTAAATTATTACATCATGCCGATAGCATTATGGCAGTTTTCGTCGCTAATAAATTTTTCTTTTCTTGTATACATATAATTCTTACTTTTAAAAATATACAATATTTTTAACTAAATTTCTTATTTTTAAACTAATTTTATTTTTTTATATTTATATCTATTAAATATTTTACAATAAATATAAAGTCATTATTAATAAAAATATTTTTAAAAAGGTAATAATTACACATTAAAACATTAAAAATGTCTTATATATTTTAACATTCAACTCTTAAAAAAATACATTATATTTTTTAATGAAGGAAGTATTTTTGTTTTCATCGACCCATTGCTACTAATTATAAGGTGTCTTTTATTTTCTATTTTTAACTCTTTTTTGCCAGAATTATATAATCCATGTAATATAAAGTATCACGTAATATTATTTAATGATTCACTAAGTCTCTTAATAAGTGCTCTTGTAAAATGACACAATAATCAATAATCATGTCTATGTTCTTTTAGTTGATAAAATTAACAAATTTTTTAAGATATAATAATCTTCTAATCTTATTTATAACTCACTTTTAATATGTTTTTTAAAATTAATAAAAAATTAATAAAATTTTACCTTTATCCTTAATAAGATAAAATATAGCGAAGCATGATGGTGGTGGGGGCCTGGGGGGTACTCCCTTCATAAGAATTTTTTTCCAAGTCTGAATGGCTTTGTAGTTCAGTTTTAGAAGATGGCGGGTTAATCCAGTTTGTAACTCCAAATTATTAGTGTATATCGCTCTGATTTAAAAATAATATTTTTTCTAATAACAATTTGATTAACTGTCTAAGAGTTGGTTTATCTTAATTAGCGGATGGGGCCATGAACATGCAACACTGATTAATTTTGAGTGGGAGTTATGTCTCTAGTGATATACTGCTTGCAAGCCATTGGCAAAATTAGAGTGGATTAAAAAGTTAGGATTTCCAAATAAAAAATTTACAGATATTATACTTAAAAATATAAATTATTTTCATTGTTTAATTAATGAATTTTTTTAAAAACTTTTGAAAAATATTCAAAAGGAATAATATGTAATTTAAATTCTGAACTATAAATTCAAGAGCAATTTAAATACTAAACTTTTAAAAAGTATATTTTGAATCATAAACAATTAAAGTTGGAGCAATTTTACCCTTCATTGTTAAACTTCAATGAATGTTTGTCAATTTTTTAAAATCTAATGCTTAATGTGCGATTTTCATCAAATGAGGATAGGAGAGAGAAGGAGAGTAATTTAATAAAAATTACACATTAGGCCATATTTTAATGAACTTTTGTTAAAATTTAATGGTGAGCACAAAATTGCTGTGACTTTAATTATTTAAGATTTAAAATATATTTTTTAAAAATTTAAAATTTAAATATACCTATAATTTAAAGTTTAAATTATATATTAATCATATTCAAAATTAATGAGATTTTTATATTTCTTTGTGTGATACTTTAAAATAAAATTATGTCGACCAACAAAATTTATTAAATACAAACATGAAGTCATCATTTTCACTCACTTCTTCCCAATCACGTCCGTCCATTCTCATCCAACGGCCATGATTTCCTGAAATGTTCCTGATAGGGACCCACGTGGTTTTATTCGAACTTGCTCTCAAATGCATGGTTCCATAGGGACTGTGGATGATATATATCCAGAGTGAGGTCAAATCGGTCATTTCACTTCCTCTGCGGATGCATAGTTCTGGACTTCGACGTCGCTATCGTTGAGACCGCCACGTCACGACACTTTCGAAGAACCTCACAGTTTGGCACAGTTAACGAATTTTTACACCCAATCACGATCCGCCACGTGGATGGCTACTATCCTCAGTCCTCACTTCCTCGTTATATAAATAGCCCATCCTCTTCGTTCGGCTCCATTGTGCTCTTTAGATAAATTTTTCCCATGCATTTCTATTTCCTCTGAGTTTCTCTTTAAAAATGTCTCTCATTTACCATAATGCCATCGTCTGCTTCACTGTGTTTTGGCTGTGGCTTGTGGCTGAGGGGGCTCTGGTTCAGCAACAACCCTTGGTGCTCAAGTACCACAACGGCGAGCTTCTGAAGGGGAGGATCACCGTTAATTTGGTCTGGTACGGTTCGTTTACTCCCATCCAACGGTCCATCATCGTGGACTTTATCGAATCCTTAAACTCCCCGAAGGCGCCGCTTCCCTCGGCGGCCACGTGGTGGGGCACCACCGGGAAGTACAAGGGCGGATCCTCTGCGCTCGTCGTAGGGAAGCAGTATCTTCACGAGACCTATTCTCTCGGGAAGTTCCTCAGGTCCAGACACTTGCAAGCGTTGGCGTCCAAGTTCCATGACCTCGACTCCATCACCGTCGTCCTCACCGCCAAGGACGTTTCCGTCGACGGGTTCTGCGTCAGCCGGTGTGGCACTCACAGGGCGATCCCGCCCGTGGGAGGTAAACCTCACGTAAAAAATAATAAAATATTCTATAAATAAAATTAGAGAAGTGCATCTTATATTTAGAATTAGGAGAGTATATACTTATCGTCAATTTGACATTTTTATTAAATACATGAATAATTTCAGACAAATGTATAATTAAGTGATTTATTTATTAATAATATTTAAAAATTTATTAATTATACATTAAAAAGTAAAAAAAATGTTTTACATATATTTAAATATCTAACCTCATAATTTTAAGGGAGGGACTGGGAGTATTTTATTTGCTGTCTGTTCCTTTCTTTTGACAACTAAGCAGGGTCAACGAACTTTTAAAATTTGTAGCTGTTAAGTTGGCGACATCAATTTTTTTTTTCTTTTTGAAAAAATCACAGCTTAAGACTTATAAAAAAAATTCTCCACAACAAGAACTAATATAAAATAAATTGTTATTAAAATGAAAATATAAACTTATTTTTTTTTTAAAATTGTGACTTGTTATTAATTTTTTGAATAATTTTTTTCACAAATCTTTAGATATAATTTTCTATTTTTTTTTTATTTTTATACTTGTATTCATTCTATCAACAGTTTTATACTGCCTTTTTCCTCGTACGCGTCAAATTCTTATTTTTATGTGTGTTTGTGTGTTGCAATGCTATCAAGGAATCAGTGCTGCTCACAATTATCCTTCTTTCAAGTCTTACCAAGTCACCGATGGGGATTAGCCCCGTATGGCTTCACGAATCATATACTAATACTGGAAACTTCTTAGAATCCTTTTGTCACAACAATGGCTGAAGCGTAATTTTCGTCCCCAAAGTCCTTAAAAATTGTGGAACAGCAAGCATCTTCTTTTTCCCCCGAAATTAGAGAAAAGATCACTCCAGTTTGTTTATGTGCATGATGCATGCAAACTGGGTGCGCACGCACATAACTTATATTATCTGTCCACATAACTTATATCATTTAACCAAATTAGCGTGTTGATTAAAATTCAAAGGAAACTTGACTATTTCAAAGGCTTTCATTTTTAACTTCTCAAAAAAGCCCCGCATGCAACATGGATAAATTTATTGTGATATATTACGATATTAAGTATACTTTTCTGCAAATAAAGATAATAGTCATAATCTGTTCCAAATTAATGTTCTAGTTGCAGGGTCAACAAAGAAGCGAGGTCGGCAACTTGCCATAGGTGATAAATACAGTAAAGCTTTAGTTTTATTTGCTTCAGCATTTTCATAAAGATTTTAAGTTATGTTATGTAAATGCAGCCATTTCAGCTGGAGTTGGTGGGCTTGCTCTAATCTTGATCTTGATTATTTATATTTGCAAGAAGCATTTCAGAATAGAAAATGGGAAAATCTTCAAAAAGAGCAGAGCATATCATGATAACAATCTTCGATCCTTCATAAATAATTATAGCTCTTTGGCACCAAGGAAATACAGTTATTCAGAGGTGAAAAGAATGACTAGATCATTTTCAAACAAATTAGGTGAGGGAGGTTATGGCGTCGTGTACAAAGCAAGCCTCCCTGATGGCCGTCTTGTGGCAGTAAAAGTAGTAAGGGAATCTAAAGGAAATGGAGAAGAATTTATAAATGAAGTTGCAAGGATCAGCAGAACCTCCCATGTCAACATAGTCACTCTCCTGGGATTTTGTTGTGAAAGGAACAAAAGAGTACTAATCTATGAATACATGTCAAATGGTTCCTTAGATAATTTCATCTATAAAAGAGGATCTCCAAATGCTTTTTGTATTTTGGAGTGGAATGTGTTGTACCAAGTTGCTATTGGCATTGCTCGTGGTCTTGAGTACTTGCATCGAGGTTGTAACACTAGGATTTTGCACCTTGATATCAAACCCCAAAACATTCTTTTGGATGAAACATTTTGCCCAAAAATATCCGATTTTGGATTAGCTAAGATTTGTAAGGAGAGTATTGTATCAATCTTGGGCACTAGAGGAACAGTAGGGTTCATTGCACCAGAAATATTCAATAGAGCATTTGGTGGAGTTTCTCATAAAGCTGATGTTTATAGTTATGGTATGTTAGTCCTTGAAATGGTTGGAGGAAGGAAGAATTATGACAGCAGAGGATCACATACTGAAGAAATGTATTTTCCAGATTGGATTTATAAGGATCTTGAACGCGGTCATCATCCAGCTAGTTCTATAGTAATCACAATGGAAGACGATGAGGTGGTAAGGAAGATGACTTTAGTGAGTCTATGGTGCATTCAAACAAATCCATTGGATAGACCAGCTATGAGTAAAGTGGTAGAAATGTTAGAAGGACCCCTGCAATCTTTATCAATTCCTCCCAAACCATCCCTTGAATCTCCTACAAAATCACCTGTCGGATTGTCAAATGGATCTTCCGAAGAAATTATCCAGACAAATTCATTACGCAGTTAACTGATATACTCTACCTGCTGCTGAGGACAATTCAACTTTGAATTGTTTTCCTAAATTCATGAATAACTTCCAGCTATTGCTTCCCTTCCAGTTCGTTCATGAATAAAAGAAGCATTATCCAACCAACAGATCTATTTTTTCGTTTTCAAACCTTTTGCAGCTAAGTAGTTGATATGTGTTCCTTTATGAAGCCGATTAATCATTCCAGTTGTATTTTCTAAATTATGTCCTTCCGCAATCATGATTCCTATATTTGCCTTCGTATTTAGGATGCATTCAAATATAAATCATTTTTTTTCTAAAGATACTACATTATTATATTAGAGTATCTAGCTAGTCACAGTAAAAAAGAATTACACGTGCAAGTATTTATTGAATTTAGATATTTTCTATCAAAATCTAGACACTTTTAAGTACCATCATGCAGTTAAGGATTAGTATGGATGCTAAGAATTGTCATATAAATATGAGGGCCAATGATCAACGAATGACGGTCAATATACAATCATGTCAAAATTTTACGCATATTGAGCCCTAATTATTGGATCAGTCAACCACAATATCTATTGATAATATTTCCTGTATATTAAAGAAAATATTCTAAATCTGACTTCCCAATGTTATTTATGTACTATGCAGACTAAACTAATTAAGCTTGCGTCCTATTCAATTTTTTTGATCAGGCTTAAATTTCCCAGACATGACGGAGTGTGTGGAAAGAAATTTTGAGCGCACAGGGACAAGCTGGAACAGCTTAAATGCAACCAAGATCGAATCCTTGATCAACCACAAGCAGGGGATCTTAGTGCTACTAGGTCACAAGACCATTAACAGAAATTTCAAATGCCATTTGAAACTCACATAAGACTGAGAAAGAAATAGAGATGAAGGAGGACTCTCATTTACCTATAGTTTTTGTTGCTCAATATAAATTTTGATACAACAAAAGTGAATCATTCTAAAAAATGAAGCGTCAAGTTATTTGGATATAGTTTCCAAATATAGAGACTTTGACAAAATGATATATTTTAAGGAATAAAAAAAACGAAATATCATAGTTTCAATTGATATATCACCAAATATAAATAAAAATGAGAAACTTCATGACCATCTTCTTCTTGACCAGAGGAGTTAAAGGACATACAACAGAGTGCCCGTATCTAAGGTGCAGGGAAGACTTCTGCAAGCTCAAGGTATGGTGAAGACTTCTATATCATTCAAATATATATATACTTATATACAGTAGTTCCAATGACAACCAAGTCCAATATTTGTGGCAAGGAAGAAAAGAAAAGATATGGAAGTGCTGGTAGAGAAGAGAAGAGTGGAAACTAGATTACAAGAGGTGGTTATGCTCTCCCTCATTTTGATGTTCTAAAAAGAGTAGAGACGATAACAAATAGAATTCTAATAATTGGTGAGTAAAGAAGCGTTTAGTTTAATATCTCTCTCAAAAATGTCCTTTATTGGGGGGGGTTAGAAATGGAAGGTAGGTCTTTATGGTCAGTGTATCCTTTGGTTCTGACGGACTACAAAAGGATTTACAGACACATTAAGAAATGGGGTCATGAACGTGGTCACTGGTCATATCCCTGTCGTCTCATTTTTATTATCTCATTTGCTTCCTCACTCTCATGAATGTATATAAAAAGATGTTCTAAAAAAGAAATCTGCTAAAAAAAGAACTACCCATAAGTTAGGGCAAATCATCAATGACAGTTGAATTCCATATATTGAATTTTTTTACTCTTTGTAGGACTCAGCTCAAACAGTGATTAAGAAATTTGAGATACTTACTTGCAAAGATGCTAGTAGAAATTTTCCTATCTCTTGTCTCGCTCCAATTTGCAGACAATTTAAGAGCAATCCTTCTATTAAGATGCATGTATCGAATATTAACTTTCTTTATCCCTTTGCTCAACTTCCTTTCTCTGCAGGAGGTCTGCCTAAAAAACCCTGTTCTTGTCAAATAGAAACGACAATTAGACAGATTTATGATTTATTAATTTTGGTAACAGGGTCTATTTTCAAGCAAAAAGTTTCTTGTATTTACCAGTTTGAGCTTCAAATCTGTGGTTCTCTGCTGTTGAAGTTAAGCAAATCAGACCCACATGGAAAAAGGAATACAATTAAAGGAAAATAGATAGAAAGAAATGTGCATAAATGTCTCTAGACAACTAGGAGAATACCAGAAGCACAAGAAAAGAAAACAATCACTTAAGAGAGTTAAAAAAAAAAAAAGATAAAAAATAAAAGCTAATAAATGCTATATAATCAATGCCCAGTCATAATCCTATCTTAGAAAATATTTACAAAGTAATAAAAGCAAAGATATTTCCACACGTTCCAATCCCACATTTGACTTAGAATGTGTTAGAGATGAAGGAAGGCGCTGATTTGCCTATAGTTCCTGCTGGTCAACATAAATTTTGTCATCACAAAACTGAATAATTTAAAAAATAAAGCATTTTGCATGGTTTCCAAATATAGTGAATCTGGCAAAATGAAACAATTTAAGGAATAAAATAAAAATTGAAAGATTTAATTGCCTCTATTGATAAAATCGACAAATACTGCAATAAAAACGAGAAACTTCATGATAATAACTAAGATAGGCATGGGATGCTCAAGGTGTGGTGGAGTCTTCCGTATCATTTCAATATATATATATATATATAAATGGTGGTTCCTTAAAATTGACTGGCCAAAAAAGTAGGGGAAAAGTTCCTCAAAATTGTGCTCAAGTGTGAAGCTCTATTCCCAATGACATCAATATTTGATTGTCTGAAAAGGAAAGGGGAAGGGGGCAAGAAAGAAAAGAGAAGCATGTGCCAGGAGAGAAGAGAACAGAAGAAATTAGATTATAAGAGCTGGTTAAGCTCGCCCTCATTTTGATGTTTCTAAAAAGAGTAGAATCAATAACAAATAGTTTATCATTCTAATATTTGGTTTGAGTAAAAAATAAGTTCTTAGTTTAATATATCTCTCAAAAACATGTCCTTTACTCACATACATGCAAGAGCAAGGGCAGAAAAAAAATCCCTAAAATCACTCACAAAATTATCCAAATATTCCCTCATAATTACTAAATCACTGATGGCTAATAAATACTATTCACAACTAATTTATAAACATTAGGGATTGCAGCATTTATAAACACTCACTTTCCTCACTTTTAAAATGTTGTCATGAATGCAGTGAGATCCCTCAGATCCCTTTATTTTTATAATCCCATTCATTCCCTCATACCTATGAATGTATTAAAAAATGTTTTATAGAAGAAATCTGCTAAAAAATGTACTAGCCATACTTTAGGGCAAATCATCAATGGCAGTTGAATTCCAGATACTGAATTTTTTTCTACTTTTTGCAGGACTCAACTCAAACAGTGATTAATCACTTGCAAAAATATGTTCTGCACTGATGCGTGTAGAAATTTTCCTATCTCGTCTCCCCCCATTTTGCAGAAAACTTATGAGGAAACCAGTGGGACGTGTGCATTCATATATTAACTTTCCCTATCCCTCTGCTCAACTTCCTTTCTCTGCTGGAGATCTGCCTGCAAAATCCAAGTTGAAAAGTCTAAGTTTTCTTGTCAAATAGAAAGAACCAAACAGATTTATGATTTATTAATTTTGTTAACATGGTCTAATTTCAAGCAAAAAATAAAATCTTGTATTACCATTTTGAGCTTCAAATCTGCAATTCTCCGCTGTCTTTGATGTGCAAAAAACTTCAGTGACTGGGACAATAATAAGCAAATCAGACCCACATGAAGAAGGGAATACATGTAAAAGTAAATCTATAGTCAGAAATGTTTATAATTGTCTCTAGACAACTACGAGAATGCCAGAACAAAAAGAAAGCAATCACTTACTCCTATTCTCTGCATTTCAGTAGATCTACGCAATGCTTCTCTTTTCGTTAGAAGATTTTTTGTCAACCCTTCTAGAGGCCGTCTATAGTTTTTTCCACGGTAAATAATTATTGCATGGCCTTCCTTTAATTTATCAACAGAAACTAGAACCCCACCACTCCCTGCCTCAAGGGATGTTGCTGTGTTCATGACCTGCCCGAACACTCTCTGCTTTGTAATGATCTTTACTACTTCTCTGTGCTTCCAGTGCTGATGTATGCCCTCCACTACACCATCAAAGATCCCACGCCTACCTGCACTCACCATTTAATAGAACTTCTGAGAGCCAGAAAAGAAACAAAGGTATTTCCAACAATAAACGACTTCATTGAGAAGTTGTAATAATAACTGCATCTGTAACTGTAATTGACAATTGTAGCCACATCAGAATATGCTTCTTCGGATGTTTCAATCTGGGTCATCTGGCTCACAAGCAATTGAAAATTCGAAATAATATATATTTGTCCATATATTTGTCCATTTGACTCAAAGCAAACTCTCACACACACACATATATATACATACATATATATAATCAAGATTCCAGATTAGATAAAACAGCACCGAAAGGGTGAGAGTAGCCTATAAAGGAAACAACATTTGAGAAGTACAATTTCTTTACCAAGCACTAAGCAACTACGCATCTGCAGTCCTATCTTCTGGAAGCATTGTCTCTCTTCTTCTGTCATTATTTCCAGGTCTGCATCCTTATCCGAAGGTGTCCAAGCAGCATTTAACTTTGATAGTTCCTTCGTTGAGATCTCTAGTTTCTTGTTAAGCTGCAGAGTCCGCCAAGATAATTCACAAAATATTAGTATAATTCCAACTTACAAGAAAAAGATGATAAATCATGTCATACAATGGACAGTTGGCGCTCTCCCTTTTTCAGTTCCCTCTCCAATCTGACTATTTCAGCTTCCAGTTGAACATTTGAGTCTACATGGATGTTTTTGGCATCCCAAATCGTTCTTTGGATTTTCTTGAATTCTAATAAAGTCCCACTTGTACTAATGTGCTGTTGTGGTTCATCAATTGGAGAAAAAGCTTCAACTGCTTTCAGCCGTGAAACTTCTTCGTGAAGTTGACAGCCTTTAAGCTCCTCTTCTCTCTTTTCCACCAAAGCTGCGACATTTCTAGGAAGGAAGTCCTTGCCCCTATAGAGTATTATATAAAACTTATTACGCAGCAACAGAGTTCCTCCTGTGAGAAACTGCATTGCAGATAACAATGTTAAGCACACTAGTCACAACATGCGTGAACCAGAATCATCACATTGAAAGTGCATACATGCTAGGAAGGAAAATTTTACAGCAGAACAACAAGAAATTCTAGCTTGGCTTTCAGGTATAAGATTTAAAATGAAACCAATATATGACCAACCATTATTAGCATTGATGTTTTCATTCCTGTTTCATAAAATTGCTCAACGTCACGTGAGAAGGATAAATTTGCAAATGAGGACAACCAAAGTGACAAGTTCTACCTTGAAGGTTGGTGAGTAAAAGTCATTTAATTCAATCCAACTCGATGAGTCAACCTTTTACATACCGGACAAAGCTCCTACAACTTACAATGTCTTGGTCTAAGATTTAGACCATAATGTAAGCTTCTACGAAACTTACCTTCAGTTCATTGGCCATTTTTTCATTGTCAGTATTAGGAACTCCATACTTCACAGCAATTTTTGCTACAAGGCTCTTCTCCCACAACTTTAAAATAGCAGAAGCCAAGCCCTGTAGTCCTTTGTTCCTACCTTCGTAAAAGAGAGAAAATGTATCAATTAACCTTGTATATGCAATGATAAGTATAAAAGGCACCCCATATATGTTTCTTGCTAAACTTATCAAATCCAGAAAGAAAGAAAAAACAATTACATATTACCATTTCTCGGCTTAAACAAAAAAATACAATGCAAAAGAAGAAGAAGAAGAGGAAGAAGACAATAGAAGTAATCTGATGGATTACATAAAGCAGGAGAGTACCAAGAACAAAATGGACTGGCAAAGGGTGAGCAAGGTTCCTCAAGTACGTAAGTTCATTATCGGTCATTTTTGAATTAGCACAAGGTGGAGAAAGCCTAAATGGAGGCTCAAATCCAGGAACCACTTCTGGAAGTAAGTCACCATCTACAGGGAGTGGCTTATGCATCCACCAATCAATGAAACGAGGTCCTAAGCCATCCAGTAACCTGTCAGTTTCCCTCTCAAACAATGATCCAGTCACAAGTTGGCCATTCACATCTTCGCTATGAATATCGACTGCCGTAGAGTCTCCACTATCAGCTTTCCAGCTCAACATGTCATGAGCACTACTTTGATGGAAGCGAAACTGGTATACTTTGTCCTTGGTTTCTGACTGCAAAAAATTGATTCCATGAAGGTTGTTTTGACAGTCAAAGTATCTTGTATAAATCTTTTCAGAAAGTTTAGGAGTGATCTGATGATTGTGCCCTCGATAGATGACAAGAATATCTTTCTTACTCCAGACAACCAAGCCTCCAGTCTTCAACTATTCGCATAGGAAATAAAGACAAACGCATTGGATTAGTTAACTAGAAACAAACTTATTAAGGAACAGAAGTAATGAATTTTATGTCAAAGAAAGATATGATATGATAATTATTATAATATTTCTCACTATTAGACACCTCAAATTAGTCAAATTTTGTCTCACATCTGTGAAACGCTGTTAGAATCAGGTTACTATTGTTAGCTTTTAAACATGCGAAATTGCATTGAACTAAACAAAACATTTAACTAGCCAAACAAGCATTAGGGAACAGTAAATTTCCTGCCGGAAGATTCCCATATCCACAGTTCATTCAAGGTACGCAGCACAGACAAATTCTTAAATTCAGTTCAATATGGCAGCTTACACATATGGAACTGAAAAAAAATTTAAAAAAACCAACTTTTAAAATATATCGCTTTGAAAATACAATAGCAAAATTACTGACAAGCCTAACCTCGACAATTTCTTGAGCTCTATCCATATTCCGGCATAAAGGGACACAAAATTTGACCATGGCAAGCTCACTTCTAGTCCAAATGCGCTTAATTTCATCGACAACAGCTTGAGTAACCCCAGCTTTCTTAACCTTCACCCAAGTTCGCATCCTCGCAGCCTCACTTCTTAACCTCCGAAGCAATGTCTTATCAAGCGTCAAATCCGCCGTAGTCACCGCCTTTTCCTTTTTCGTCCTCCGAAACTCAATCCTCTCATCCTTCTCCCATGGCATCCTACTCCAAGTTCTGGAATCCCCGTCTTTTTCTAATCGTTCTAAAGTATCCCCAATTCCAGCTTCTGCAGAATCCATCTGCTCGTCAGTTGAGTAATTCTGACCCTTCCGAAGCTTCTCAATGCTTTGGACAATTTTCTTCATAGCCTTCTTCCCTCTGACGCCGCTTTCCTTCGCAGTCAACGCCTTATCAGATTGTTCCACCTCACTCTTATTGAATCTCTTATTGGCATTGGGCTTAGAAAGGTTAAGAACTTCATGAGGTTGGATAAGAAGAGGACCCTTCATCCACGGAGGTGTGGGGGCCTTGACGGGAGCATCAGGATGGGACTTAGACTCAGAGGAGATAGGGGAGTTTGGGTTCGTTGTGGAGGCAATTGGAAAAAGATTGAAGGGGTGATTTTGGATGGGATTTTTGGGAGGATTCTGGGGAGAGAAGGATGAAGTATTAGAGAAAGAATAAGGGAATGAGATGGAGTGAAATGCGATGTTAGGATTACCAGATAGCTGAGGAAGAAGAGAAAGGAAGATCATGGCAGGCATGAGTGAGATGTGAGTTCTTTGCCTGCTTCGCGCGCGGAACTGAAGAAGAATGTGGGAGTCCGGTTGTCGCATCCAGTTTCTTAGCTTATCACACTTTGCCATGATATTTCAGGGTGAAGCGCCTCTCTCTCTCTCTCTCTCTCTCTCATGTTACGAGAATAGTTCTTCTTAACAGAACGAGTTAAATTTTTTTTATTATCCCAAAAAAAATTTACAAGCACATTTTTTTTTTTTTTTTTGCTTTTGGCATTACAAGATTTTAGACATGTAAATATGCCAGTTTTAATTGCATAACATTGGACATAACTACTTAATTGTTAGAAAAATTAATTTACATATATTTATAATTTTTTTTTAATTTTAATTTTTTTGGCCAAACTCGATTTTAAATTAGATTTATATAATTTATTTTATTTTAATCAGTCTCCTATAATTTGATCCTTTAAATTTATAAATATCCAAAGATTAAAATTCTTGAATTTTTTTCTTTTGAAAAAAATAAAATTAAGAATTTTTAAATTTTTATTAAGAGATTATATAGCTTTATAATTAATTACATAATTTTTAAATTTTCTAACATTGGACATAACTACTTAATTGTTAGAAAAATTAATTTACATGTATTTATAATTTTTTTAATTTTAATTTTTTTGGCCAAACTCGATTTTAAATTAGATTTATATAATTTATTTTATTTTAATCATTCTCTTATAATTTGATCCTTTAAATTTATAAATATCCAAAGATTAAAATTCTTGAATTTTTTTTTCTTTTGAAAAAAATAAAATTAAGAATTTTTAAATTTTTATTAAGAGATTATATAGCTTTATAATTAATTACATAATTTTTATAACTCAAAATTTATATAAGGAGAATTGGATGCAAAGACCTCTTAAAAAAATTATACACAAACAAAGACCAAAAATAAAGTACTATTCGGGAAAAAGAAAAACAAGCTCCTTTTACTATTTTAATAACAAACAATTTAATATTGATCCTTATTTGTAAATTATTTTTTACAATATTCTTAGATATGATTCTCTCATTTATATAATTAAGTCATATCTTCTAAATAGTTTTTGGACATATAGAAGTTTTACTATAGACAAATGGATCCACTAATGATAATATGCAAAGACTATCTTTGCAAAATTGTTTGGCTTGCAATGGAAAAATTTTTCATATGAGGTGTTATATCCACATTATTAACCTAATTGTTCAAGGGCTAAAGTTACAAGATCAGTTTTGTATAAGAGTGGGGAGGGCATTAAACATTTGAAAGCATTAGAAGCAAGTATGATTTTCAAGAAATTGTTGAACAAGTTGGTGGGGTAAACATTTTAATGGGCTTGCAATTAAATATTCCTACTAGATGGAACTCCACTTCTGCTATGCTTGAGAGTGGACTTAAATATGGCCATGCTTTTCTAGAATTGCCTTTACTTGACAAAAATTACAAGTATGGCCTATCAAACTATAATAGAAAGAGTTTTTTATAATGATTAAAAAAATTACATCAATTCACAAAGCAATGTTATTCCAAAGGGTGTTTTCTACATTAATTATACAACCGATATAAAAAATCTCTTACTTTCTGCATCAATTCTAATTGCAACCCATATAGAAAATGAATTTTTTAAAGTGGTTGTAGCTATAACCAATTTAGAAAGTGGATATTCTACATCAATTCTAATTACAAACCATGTGAAAGTGGTATTAGAAAAAATAAGGGTGTTTTTCTAGGTTGTAAGATTTATAACCTAGAAAAACATCCAATAACCCAAAAAAACACCCCTAAAATAAATAAAATAATTAAAAGAAATAAAATTTAATAGCTATAAAATAAAAAATAAATATTTAATTTATTCAAATATATAACAATTCATATATAACTTTCATTTATGTACAAAAGAATTGAAATTATAATTAAATAATATAAATGAAGTTTTCGTATGATAAAAAACATAAAATTCTTTAGAAAAATAGAACTGCACAAAAGAAGACAAGAGCAAGGAATCAAGTTCTTGATAACAATGCCTCCTTTGCCTACATGAGCAAGTTGAGCACACGCAATGGGGGTTAATAGTCTTCATTCTTAAAATCTAGTAAGGCCTTAGCTTTTTTATCTTGTGGATTCCATACTGATGCGGGGCAACTAAATGATAGCTCATAAAAATTTGAAATCCTACTATGTGTTATCTCACAAAAAACCACACTAATAGAAATAGCCTCATAATTAAAAAAAAATCAATTCATAAATTCAATAAATCTCCTTTAAAACACAAAAGGCTGAATTATTTAAATAAACTTCTAAAAATATAAATAACGTAATCCTAGTTAATTTAAGATTCCAAATGGATCAATCATATCCTTAATGGATATATTCATCCTTATTTGAATTTTAAACAAAATAAACTAATTTTTTGAATTTAAATTTGAAATTAAAATAAAATAAACTAATTTAATAAATTTAAGAAAGAATATTAACTAAACTAATTGAACTCATGGGTTTGAGTGTCTTAGGTTAGGCCTAATGTGTTAAAAGTCTTTCTTGGGTCTTCTAAAACTTCACTTGCCTTCAAAACTTTTGATTATTTAGAACATCCCTAACTAATGAATTCATGACTTCTTTCATCCTGTTGACTCTAAATCTAGTCATTGGTCTTCTGATAAGACTCATATTTTACACACTTGATCCATCATTTAGGACCTATTTTACATGTTTTATTTCTCATTTTGGTGCATTCATGGTATCAAAAGTAAGAAAATCACCTAAGAGGTAAAATTGTACACTATGGGTATTTTGATTCAAAATTGAACTTTTTATGAAAAATTGGGTTAATGATGTGTTCCATATTTTTAATGCCTAGAAGAATGAATATGAAATTATTTTTTCAAAATTCAATTTTAGTTTTGAAGTTATAAAATAAAAATACATTTCAGGAGTTGTTGACTTTGTTGACCAAATTAAGGTTTTATGTGCACACTTAAACTTTCACTTGTCATAACTCTTGAATTTTACTTTATTAATATTCTTTCATGATGAATTAGCAAGGATTTATTTATTTATTATGTCATATGAATATTTAATTTTGATTTTATATACATTTTGTAACTTATGTAGAACATGTTAACTTGGACATTTTGTAATTAGTCAAAGATCATGGAAGAGGGTTAAAAAGGGAAAATGTGGCATCATTTATGGGCTGAAAAGGGAGATAATAATTAGATCATTTGATAAAATTGGTGAGAATATTCTTACTTAAAATGTTTCCTTTGAACTAATGAAAAGAAACTACCTATTTAAGTATGTGAAAAGTGTGTATCTTACCCCCTAACTTTTTCTTTTCCTTTTTCTTTTATTTTTCTCCTCATTTGCAGCTGGAAATGCACACCCCCATCAGCTGCTTTTTTACCTAAAAAAATAGCCTAGCTTCCACACATAATCTTTCACCACCTCCTTCATTTTTATTTCACATTCTCTCTCTTATTATTCATTGTTCTTTATTTTCTCTCATTTTTTCAGCCACGGCAGCCCCCTTCTCTCCTCCATTTTTCTTCATCTAACTATTGAATTATCACCAAATCACTCCCATTCTTGTCCTCTCACTCCCCCCTACACATCCCTATTACTTGATCATTCATTTCATGCTTCATTCTCTACTTGGTTCCATGGAGGGTTTGGCCAACTTGAGCTTTTCATAGAGAACTTTAAGAACTTTAAAGGCTAAATCTTTTTGAGTGCTTAAAGGACGATGAAAGCTCAATGAACCATTGGGATCTTCAATTTTTGTAATCCTTTTATTTTTCTCTTAATTTTTCTCCATTAGTAGACTTGTAAGGCTATAATATTGGATTGCTATGTCTTGGCTTTACAACCATAATCTTGGTTGATATTTTTCTATGGAGATTGATTTGATTATTTTCAAATTTCATTTGATATGTTGAGCTATATATTTCAGCCACTCTTGAATGTGTCATGATTTTGAATGTTCTTAAGTGTTTTAACCTAGTTTATGCTTCATCATAATCTTGAGGAGTGTTTGCTGGACTTGGCTATGATCCACCATAATTTTAGGGGTCATTTAGGTTGTAAAAGGTTGAAGATACTTACTAGAATTTGCCAATAATCACCTAACTTAGGCCTAAAACTAAATTAGAGAGTTGAATTGAGCTCTAGAATCCTAAGCTTAATTAGGGTCCCTAGTGAAGTTAAATTACTAGAGAGAATTATCTTAGTGACTTCATAATTTGGTTAGGAAGAGAAGAATTAAGGGTGGCTAACTTACATTTTATAAGTGGTTAGAATTTGAGCATTAATCTAACTTCAAGTACCCTATTCCATCTTATTTTCACAAACTCATTAACTTAGGTCTTTAGGCTTTAATTAGGTTAATTAGTGTTTTAAATTTTAATCAATTAAAATCAATCAACTTTTGAGACTTTTATTTTAATTTAATTGCATTAAAAATCTTTGAATTTAATCTTTAAATACCTTTTTAAGAGATGACCTAGGTTGCCATTATACTATATAGTTGATTAATCCAATTTAAATTGTTAAGTGTGCGCCTGCTTAGTTCATCCTCCAGTGCCCTATAATGAATCAAAGGTATTAAGTGTTAGATTCTGACTTGTCCCTTGATTCCCATTCCATACACTTGTAGAAGAAAATGAAACTAATATTAACTACTGAAAACATTATAGGTACATACATGTATTTCATAAAAAATACATTACTCTATTCATTGAACTTGACAAAAGTGATATAGATAATATCACCAAAAATTATATTTAAAAAAGTGTTGAGGATAAATAATGCATGAATTAATGTTTACAAGGGTTGGTCACATATATCACATATTGTTTGTAACTACCTAGGTAATGAGGAATTAGTATGGCAACCTCTTTCGCTTTAGGGATTCCCTTAACATAGAACAATAGATTACTTAAATTCATAAAATTTAACAAGTTTAGACATTTTTGGTATTATCTATAATAGCATTACAAGAATCATCTATGTGTACCTAAGTGAAAATCTTGATGAAAAGCTTCAAACCAAAAAGAAAACTAGCTATGATGAAAAGTAGCTACAATTCCTCTATTCCCTTTCCTTTCTTT